ATGCTGAATTAAAGCAAACACATCGTCAGTTTAAGGCATTTTATTGGGAGGAAAAACGAAGGCCATTAAGTTTCCAAACCATTTAGCTTTAAATGGAATTAAATGTTCCCAGAGTAATGAAGCAACTCATGTGTGGCCTAATGATAAAAGCTTAACTCTATTTATAAACATAGTTCCAAAAATTTAGAATCTAAATCATGTATATTTCTTTCTTTTGATGTTTGCTTTCATAATTTAAAACATATTTAAATATGCCGAGAGACCACATATGTTTTGTCCACAAATTTTTGGTAATCTGTTTGCTCGACCCTAATGGAAACTAATTATCTGGCCTGGTAACTAAATCGTCTGTCTCGCCGCAGTTCGAGCCCTCTGTTTGGCAATTTGTCGAAACATTTACATCGTGGCTATGTGATTTTGTGGTTGTTTGGCAAACCCGAAACCACATTTAAAGGATGCTTGCCAAGGATTTGGGCCAAACATGTGTTGTTTTTTGTTTTTAATTCTTTGCTCACTTGGAGCGTCTGGGTGGCGCGTGGCATATTAAAGTTTATTTTCTAGACTTGTTTTCTTCGTCTTTTTGTGTGTTGACAGCTGGCAGGAGCCTGCATGTGGCTGCCACCTCGAGACGGAAGCAATTTTCGTTTTAATTTGCACTCTGCAGGATAAAGAATATTTGCCGAAGCGAAAATTTAAGTTTTAAAGAAGACAGAAAGGCAAGCCAATCAGAAATCTGAAAGGAATTGATTGATTGAATCTAAACAGTCTTTGGCTGGAGCAAGCTTATCGAAAGCAATTTGTTTTGGAGAACTCGTTTTATTTAAATAGCCGGACATTTTGGTTGTGAACCTTGATCTTTCTCTCCCGCCCCCGAATTGGCCTGATGTATGCACGTATGTGTTTGCTTTTGACCCAACCCCAAGCCCGGTTCAATTATACACATGCGTTGAAATGTCCAATAAGTTTTGCACTTTATTTTCCTTTTATTTTTTTTATTTTTGTGCTTTTTTTTTGTGTTAAGCCCCCACTTGGGAAAATAAGAAAAAAAATAAAAACCACAGCATACTTTGTAGCGTTGGGAGCTTTGTATAGTATGGTATGGTGTGAGGATGCAAAGTGAAAATCGATTTACGTAAAATATTCAATTCAATGCAAGCCGGAACGCACGGGGTAACAGAAATCGGAGTAGTCGTTAGTATGGACGGGTATGGATTATGTAGATGTGCCTGTGTGAGTATCCTCACCATCCTGTTCCTGTTTCGTCCGAAACTGCTCTCCTGAACCTCGGGCACAAAAAAAAATTGTTCTGTCGATATGCAAACAAAGCGTAGGAAGTGGGCTACGACATTTTAATGGATCTGTCGGGGTTTCGGATGGGGGATATATGGATCCCTGTGGATGTGGCCTCGCTTGCCATTTTTGGGGGGATGGGGGACTTTGTAGCTGTTGATTCTTGGCAGGTTGGAAATGTTTCGCGTGCCGCTGTTCTGTACACAACCGCATAGCCACAAGCCAACAAACTCATTAGGTTACTTTGTACGCCTTGTACGCCTTGCCCTTGCATATGCATAGCGTTTTAAAGTCATTACACTCTTTGCTTTGTATTCAACTTTAATTACAGGGAGTATCCATGCGACCACTACACATCCGTGATAACGGTGACACTCCTGATGACGGGCTGTCCCCGCGTGGAGGTCCACGCCACAGCACTCCAGCTCCTGCAGATCCTGGACAAGCGTTTCTTTGGCAGCGTTGTGGGCACTCTGCACAGCGACAACGAAAAAGGTAGGAGCCCACCTCCCATTGACATGGCAACTAACGAAGGGTGATGTTAATAAAATGGAAATTAAGTGACAATTTTGCAATATAAAGTGTCCCCAAAGCTGGCTCTAATGCCGAATGTTTAGTTGGGATTGTACCTTTGGCATTAGTTGAGTAATGGAAGTGGAAAATTTAATAAACTCAAAGTGGAGTGATTTGTTTCTTGCCTGAAGCAGGATTATTTAATGAACTACAACCCTTCTCTCAAAAGTGTTACCCTTCAAGCATCTTAAAATAGGTTTCTTCTTTTTATGCAACTCTAATCCCTAATGTTCTTACAATGTTTATGAAAAGAAAAACAAGCTTACACGACACTCACTCATGGAGGGTTCACATAAATCTACATTCGCCACCTTCACAATGTGTTGTGTTATTGGCAAGTGTTGTTTACTTTTCTGCCTGTTTGAGTTTTGCATTTTAATTTCATATATGTATCCAGTCCCTACTCTTTTATTCCATTACATAAGAAGCTTTGTGTTTAAATCCAATCAATTTCCATCTGGAGTCTGTTTACATGTTAGAATCGTTTTTAAATCCTTAATGGATTATGATTTCCAAGGCACTTGTCTGCCAAAATTAAACACGAAAACATTGTTGTTAACTTTCAATTAGTGTGGGGGTGAGATCTTGTACTATGCTGCGTAATTAGCCAAATATTGGATGCTTGCACTTCAGGCTTCTGAACAACAAAGTTGGCCCTGCTATGGATTCTAAGCTGTTTACCCAAAAATATTAGCCGCCCACCTAAAGCATCGTTTCGGACCTTTTTTTAGACCCAGTTTGCACTAAGCTGATGAACTTTGTTTTGCTTCTTGCCTCTGGTGCAATGCACTATGGGGTTTTTGACCTGTTTTTGTGGCATTAATTAATAACTCGGTCAGTTTTGGAGATATCGACATGAAACTTTACCAATCGTTATTATTTGATCCTAGGCACATATAGTATGAAAATCGTTCGGATCAGGAAACTATATCCTATAGCTCCCATAGGAACGTTTTGGTAAAAGTAAAGATAAATTAATGAAATTTAAGGAGCTGATATTTGTTGCTATTTTAATACGATATAGTAATTTTAAACCAAATCGGACAACGCTTTCCCTGGGAACTGTCAGTTTAAAATACCGGATTTCAGTGTTCTTCCATACAAATGCATAGAAAAGTTGAAAAAGAAAAATTCCTTCATACAGTAGTATTAATCTTATTATTCTTTTTTTTCATTTTCTATAATATATCAATATTATCTAAAAATAAAAAGCTAAAATCGTTAAATTCGTCATCTTCGAGACAAACATTATTTTCGTATTCGTACTAAAGCATCTCAATTACCTCAATTGGAAGTAAAAGACTCTTTAGTTTTTTATGCATCTCGATAAATTAAGGACGAAATAATTGGATCTTATGTATCTATAGCTCTGTTGAACACATCAGCGATGGAATGTAATCGGTAGTGTTTTCTTAAATGGTGACGCCTGTCTGATTTATACAGCTCAGGACTCAGACGGTTCTTCTCCAAAATAGCCGACTGAAAGCACCGTATTTTCCATTACTTCCATTAAAAACTGGTGGCTTTTTTTCAAAACGGCATTATCCACATTGTTATTTGCATGGCGTTAAAAAAAAAACATTGTACAGCCATTTGATGCTCAGCCCGGCCCCTTTCGCTGTTCCAAGCAGCGACCAAGTCGGCTTTTGGAGAAAGTGAGGTTATCTAAGAAAAATTCAAATTGCACCAATAGTGGAGAAAAGTGCACAATAAGACTAACAGCCTTTGCTGAGTATTGACAACGCTACAACATACACTTGGGCGCATTGAAAACTTTTTATTCCTTCTATTTCAAAACTCTTCTCAAAGTTGAAATTTGTTTCCCAAAATTCAGCTTAAGGTGCATCTATAAAATGACAAAATTTTAGTATAGACACGCACAATTTAAACAGTTAATACATTTAACATATAGTACAAACCTGTGAAATCAGTGTCTATTACTATTTTTCTTTTTAAATGGAGTTTTAAACAAATAATCTAATTTCACAAATCACTATGTGAAAATTGCTAACTTAGCGCACGTGCTTTCGAATGCAACAGCTGACTTTGCAGCTGTTATGCTAGCATATGGTGCTAATAATTAATATTTTGAGTATGAGGCATAATAGTTTGATGTTTTCTTAATACATTCGCATTAATTTTTTTTAAATCAGAGAACTTTCAAAAAATGATTAAATGCCACATAAAGTGGTCAAAAACCCCATAGTGCAATGGAAACCTGGACCTTTGCTCCAGGAAAGCTGAAAAAGATAATAATAATCCGGTGACTTTGGGTCGTGAGGCAAAATGGCAGGTCGCGGAGAGGGCTAAGCCGGGGGGATCAGCTCCCATTTGGGAAATTCAATTGGCCGTAAAATGTCCGAAATGCGAAATGAAAATCTGTATTAAGCCATACAACGTGGATGTAACCTAACCAAATTATATAATCAGGTTAAGTCGATTGGAAAGTAATTTAAATACCAGTGGTCTGTCCGCTGCCCCCAAAAAATCTGGAAATCAGAAAATCCAATTAAAAATCACTCTCCAACTGCCGACATTCAATTAACGAAATTAACATTTATTACATTTATACATTTGCTCGATGGTTGGTTAAGCTGGAATATATAATTTATATTCGATATATATATTTATTTATTTTAACTGTTTGGTTTTACGTTTGACGTTTCGTAATTGTATCTTTGTGGTTAGTGGAATCAATTAAGATTTGTGTGCAAATTAGTCTGGATTTCAATTGGATTAGGCGCAAAGTTTAGAAAGCAGAACATAAAGTTTGTTCCTTTTATGACTACGTGGATATTTTTAAACACTTAATTGAATTGAATATGCTCTGTACGCACTTCATCCTTAATTTTGATTCTGTTTTTAAACATTTTATTTTGCTTGGCCTTGACAAACATCACAAACACATTTTAATTATCCTGCCAACTAAGTTTTATTTTCTCCTTCTTTGTCTATAACTGCCGCTCCAGTTTTTCCAGCTTCTGTTCATCTTATTTTTATGTATATGCTGAAATCTAATTAAAATTGAAATTCCTGCTTATCCGGAGCTGGGCCGTTGAATGCAAACGCGCTTTTCCATTTTCGCAACATCCATTAACCCCTGGGAGGAATACCGTATATATATATCAGTATATATATTTTTTTTGTCGCGTTTTTGTTTCGTTCTCCTTCACTTAAGTGGATGCAATTCGTGCATTTCGTTCCAACAATGTTGTGTCATCATCCTGCGCCTGGTGGAGGTTCCAGTGTTCCGGCAATACTCCGACACTGAAAAGATTCAAATCAAACCGTATAAGAATGTGTGAATTAGGAAAAGTTGTGCGTGCAATATAACTGAGTGGTGCAAGCACGTGTATGCTATACTTTGCTAATCTCGCCCTTTACAAAATAACTCAAATTGCCATAGCAAAAATTCATTAAAATTGCCAACCCCCCCTCAACAATTTTCCTATCAAGGCCTTAACCATTTCTGGAGTGCATGTTCCTGGGACTGTGTGTGGCGGGTACGTGAAAGGCCAAAGTTAAATATCACAATTTCCAAGGATTCCCTTTGATGAGTAAAAAATAGCTGCAGTTATGTGACAAACTGTGTAATTATTTTTCCCCAGAAAGGACATAGTGTTAACAATAATACGGGGAAATCTATCTTATTTACTAAATTTAAAGCTTTTTCAATCCTTTTACGAACCGGAAAGTTACAAAGCCGCGATTTATTTGTCAGGATTATCGAAAAATCACCCCAGAGCCCAAAAAAGTACACTATAAATTTCGTACTTGGGGATTTACATTCGAGTTACCTGTCAGGAGTGGCTTGTTGGCTTATTTTGTAAAACAGGAATCACTGAGCTGAAGACTACTGGTTTGAGTCCGGCTTAAACCCGAAAAAAACCAGTATATTTAATGTCTGGAGCACTTTTATTTCGATATCTATTCATTGTTTTCTTTCCTCCAAAATATTGTTTTTCATGGCAATCTGGGCTAATCAATCATTCGTGTTTAAAAGCACACAGCGAGAACATCAAAAAGTGCCAATAAATTCAAGCCATCGGCATTTTCCAGTGAACAGCATTGTGTTTGTTTTCGTTTTTCGGGCCTTGTTTGCATTTGTTCATTTATAATCTTTGCTCTGGGTAATTAAGGTTATTCTTCAAAAGCGGAATCTGTATTTCAGTTAGGGGGAAGCAATTGTATTTCCAGTTGGTGCACAGAGTCTACCTTGAATGGTATTCCAAGCAACTGGCTTTGTCACACTTTGATGCTTTTTAATTATTTTGGATGTATCATCCGCAAGTCAAGGGGGAAAAGTTAAATATAGCATTTTGCCACTTCAGCACATCTCTCAAGTATGATTTTGTCAAGACCCAAAGTATACACATATGTATGTCGTATATATATTTTTTTGTTGATTGCCTGGTGTGGATATTTGTGGCTTGGCAAGATTAATGATGACGTTCTGCGAATGTCCTTGACGCATGCCTGACGCTTCCTCGTCTTTGTTTGGCTCTTTCCAACATTTCCACTAAATTATTAAATAAATTATACAGCCTGACACACAAGAGCCAATGCGTAGCTTCGCCAATTCAAAGTCCTGCCATTTTCCAACGAAAGGCATTGAAATATTAAGTGAATTGTCTTGTTCTATTCGGTTTGTGGTTTGCCGCGATGAATAGTCTGTCTCATAAGTGGTTTCGGTATAAATAATAAGCGGGGGGCTATGTATCTATAGGCCTTGAAATCTCAGCCACTTGATATTCCGGTCCGGCTCTATGATTTTCTTGCTAAATTCGTGCTTCATTGCAGATAAATCATTATAAATGAGCTCGTTAAATACGTTAGAGTAGAGTATACTATCCCGTCAGTAATATCCTTTTCTTCAAAACTTTGATTCAAAAGAGAAGTCTCTTGCTAATAAATGTAAATTCAAATGCCACCAAAAATAAAATCCAAAAATAAAAAAATAAATTCAGGCATTGGTAAGCCGTAAAAGTCTTAGTGTCCTGACTTTTTTATTAGGGAATGGAGAGACAGTGAAAGGAAGCGAATGTGGCACTGAGTACTCCTCCAGAGACGTGCACTGATTGACTCCGCAAGGAGCCAACGAAAGGGAGCTGGCTGCCAGACGAGGGCGAAAATAGCCCGAGCGAGCGTGACTGGAAGCTTTGGTAATTTATGGCCAATAAGCAATGGCGTAATGAGGGAGCGGGCGGGCGGCAGCGGGTCCAGTGCGAATCATATGCGAGTACTCCCAGGAGGAACGCAACGGAACGGTGTGGCAATCATTCGTGTTGCATTCAACGCACGTACCACGCGGCGTATGAGTAATGCCATGCGGGAAAGGAAAAAAAAGGAGAAATGTATTGCCGCAGGTCGTGATTAGACGCGGATTGCCATTGAATCGCTTTCCTCATTAACAGTCGTTGTTTGATTTTCGGCTCATCCGTTGGCATTCGATTTCCATGAAAATCATTTTTGGAAAATTCCATCAGCCAACAAGGTTTAGTCCTTCAAGACTTAAAGAAAACCTCTGCTTGTTTTTTCCGTCAGGAAATAAAGGGCCAAAAAAGCAAACAACACATAGTCTTAATTTTAATAAATCTTCATCTGCTTGGCGACAATGTTGAAGGTAATTCCCTTTGCTGCAAGTGTCCAAAAACCCAGCTCTCGATTTCCAGTTCGTACACCTTTTTCAGCCGAAACTCACACTTGGACAAATAAGGAAACAAACAAACCAACACCGACACCTTTGCTGTATTTGTTCGATGTAAATATTTGCAAGGAGCTCACGCTGTTCCCTCCCGTTTGATCCTTTTTCCCGTTCGACTGCAAAAGAGTCCTGCCGCCTGAGGCTGGAGCTTTTGCTCTTGCATGCCTGACTTTTCCATTTACATTTGGATTTCACGCTACCATTGTTCTTTGAGAAGATGGCAGGGTTTTTTTGCAGCTGGTTTTTCCGCTTCAGGATGGTTCCTGCAACTGCCTCAACCGGAGGATATCCTTCAGGCCCTATAATGAATCGCCAAATACTTTTAATTAACGAGTGGCATACCATACCGTAACATAAACATGCACTCTGACATTTTTATGGCAACCAATATGCCTCCAGAGGGCCGCAGGTAGTCGCAGAAAAATGGCTCTTCAAAAATGCTTTTGGCTTTAGTAAGAAATTAAAAATTGATGCTCCCCGAAGGTTAGATGGGAAATCGTAAAACTAAATTTTACGGCAGGTGAACGATGACTGGGAATGAAAATGGATATGAAAATGGGAGCGAAAATCTGCTTGCTTGCTTGGGGATCAAGTGGAAAAAACCCAGCCCAAAGCCATAAAAGAATGAAATTTAAAATTGAATCCATATTAAGCTACAAAACTAAACTACATTGTTCGAAACTCCTGAAATTCATTAAATATTAAGACCCATTGAAGTTTAATATTTCCAGGAAAGGCTCACTTAATTAAATCGAAGCAAGAATTTACACTTTTTTCTAAGAAATGCCGCGGCCTAATGACAAAATCATTCAATACTTGATTAGCATGTATCTGTGATTTTTTTCACCTTTTCATTCCTAATAAATTACCTTTTCTTGTAGCTTTGTAGTTGGAGTGTGATTCCCTTCACACAGTTCAAGTTTTTATTTCATTTCCTGAAGTGGAAAGAAAATTAATCCGAAGCCGGAAAAGCGAGAAAAAAGGGATTATATTGTTTTAAGACCATTAGGAGTGGGGGTGAAACTTTCAAGGAAAAATATCAAATTCAATGTGACGGTTTAGTCATCAAGTCTTTGGCCTCCTTTGATTCTTTGGCAATTAATAGCGAGGTAACGAGGTAAATAAAGTGACTACCGGTCGTACCTTCACATTGCCATCCGCTTTTCATTAACAGGAGCCGTGGCATCGGATGCGGATTCGTTTGGCAGGACTAGGACTACCAGGATACTGGCCAGGCGTTTATAAGAAAAGTTTCTCCGCCCCCATTATCCCCAACAGAGGCAACAAAACAGCAATTAGTGTTCCGGCTCCTGGCAGATGGAAAATGCAATGACCGCCTGCTGGGGCTCGGCTTGGATTTAATGCTGAATGCTGAAGGAGAAAGTTGAGTGGTCGCCTTAATCCTTTCACTTCCATTCTCTCGTTATATGCCCCATTCTCTGCCCAGGACAGCTGGGCAGAGTCCGAGCTGTTGTGATGAGTTTATCTGGTATTTCGCCCAGCCAGAAGTCTAAAATTTATATTTATTTTCAACCAACTCCTACCCTAGTTGGTTGAAATGTCAAACTATCTCCAGTATCAAATCAGCAAAGCATCTGAATAAATTGGTGGTACCATCATTTCAGTACACCCCCTCTCTATAACTCCCGGAAGGTGCTGGCATTGTTTTTCTCCTGAAAAATATCCGGTTGAAAATGCAGCTGTCAAGTGCAGTCCTCGAAACCGCACAACCCTGCTGGCGATTTGCGGAGGACTTAAAGCATGCTTTAACTATCCTTAGAACTTTAGTTAAGTCAACTCGGGGAAAGTTGTGGGTGGTGAAGGAAAAACTTTGCACGGACCAGGACTGTTAAGTCGCATGACTTAAGGCCTTTTTGCTTTTTGCAAATTTATACTCATTGCAAGCAAGAAACAATAATAAGGATATGCTTTTCTTGACTCACTGAACTTCACTCCAAAGTCGACTAACATTGTTTATGTATCAAGGACCTTTCAACTGGTTTATGTTTCATAAAATTAACCAGACATCTGTCTGCGACATTTATTGGCTTACACAAAATTAAATTTTCAAGTCCTTCCCATGGCGCATAAAATCGTATTTGTCTCACATAATTCCCCACCACCTCCACTTGCATGTGTGTCCTTATTATTTTGGAAAATTCTTTACTCACCTGTCACTTGGGTATTGCCAGCCTCCCTCTGGGCGGAGGATACCCGTCGGAAAATGCTCAGCACTGCCTTTCTGCAAAAGGAGAAAGAAATGAGGACGTTTATATTTGAATGTTGATAAAAGGCATTCGCATAAACATGCGTTATTAGAGGTAATTTGTGTGTTGAAGATTACTTACCGGAAATTCTGTCCGCTGACGCAGTAAAGCACGAAATTGATTCCGAAATTTGTGATGAAGAAAGCGTGAAAAATATATTGCAGGGCAATTGTAGAGTTCTCGTTCTTAGCAGCGTCCGTCTGTGGTGGGCGGGGGCCCAATGAAAAATGGAAAGGAAAAGGAAATCTCATTAGAGGATACGTCTGCCCCAATTAGAGGATTCCGGGAAAAGCACACAGTTGGCCTCTGATCTCCTGATAGGCATTCGATACTATTGACACAAATTTTGGATAATTCATCAAAATCCAATGTGTGTTTCAACTTTAATTCAAAGATTAGTTGCTCCAAATTCTATATGTATGTATTTTCTGTGATGAACTCTCAAACTTATAAACTGGCCACGTGCCATGCCTGTTGACCTGTTGAACTGCTGAACTCCGGAGATTGAAAGGCCGGAAAATAATTTGGGATGCTTGTCTGCCGGCCAGCCGTTTCCACTCAATTAATTTTATGTCGCAATCAATGTCTGGGCTTGCCGCATTTTTAAGTTGGCATGTGAGCTTGGGTGTGAAAAAGCAATTTGAATACAATTTCCGAATGGCATCCCGTAGTTCTGGCCCACTTGCTCTATTAATAACACATTTCTAGCCTTTAAAAGACTGTTAATGCTTTGGATAAAAGCTTATTAAATTCCAAGGATTTTGGTCAGAGAGTTTATTCAGTGGTTTATTTTGGGAATGGCTGACCATCAAAAAAGTCAGCAACAAAGTTGAATATTTTGATAAAGTTTTCCCTTGCAAAAATAAATAAAATTAAATAAAGTTTTCCACAAAATTGGCTTCAAAAAAGGATTAAGAAATTAAAGTAGACTGGTGGAGTTAAGCCTTTATGAATATGATTTTGTAAACATATCATTTCCACTCAGACTCCAAGGGCTGTTACAATAACACGAATCGTGTTTTATTTATATGATTCGCCTCCGAAGTGCACAAACTAATTAAAGCCTAATTAACACCTATGCCCTCGCCATGCCAACCAGCCTGCTCACTGCTCACTGCTCATTTGCCGAAAGACATTAAAATCTTTTTTGCCCTTTCATATACATACAAGGCATTTGAGAGATTACAGGGCCAAAAGGGCCAGTATTATATGGCGAATATCTGAAGAGACAATAACATCAGCTTAAAATAGTTTGGCCGTTGTCATGACAACTTTATGACTCTTGTTTGTTGTCCAGCTTGTAAGTGAAAGCCGGGCCAGAAGCGAAGGGACATGCCACTCATCGCAGGCAGGAATTTGTGGCCAGATAATTAGTATGGCACAGATGCTGGTCAACTAACTGGAAATCTTATTCCACATTGTTTTGGCAGGAAATTAAGGAGGTGGATACACGGAAAACAAAGTCTGGGCAGTTTTCTATACTTTTGTGTCAACTTTTGCTTCATTATGAATCTTGTCCTGTTGATTAAATTATTTTAGCCCAAAAGAAAGTAAAGCCCATCCACAAATGTCTTGAATCCTCACATTGTTTTAGACATGTAAGTCTTGAAGTCTCAGCTAAGGATATATGTAATCAAAGCATAATGCATCTCATATGTTGACATCACTTACCTCCCAGTAGGCTTCGATGCGGAGCAAGCAGCTCGGTAAATTGAGGCAGACAAAAACCGTTGAGACAATTAGCAACATCTTGGTTACCTTCAGCTGCGACGAGTTCTGAACTTTGCGACGACCTGGAAATAAGCCGTGAAATAGAACCAACATTATAACGCGATAAAGTTAATACGCCGCTCCCTCCACACTAGCACGGACTTTATAATTAGTTGGGAATTATGCGACGATAGTTTGTAAATTGTTTGACAATTTGTCAGTGTCTCAAACTTGGCCAAGATTGCGCTCGACGCTACACTCTCGACGCGCTTTCCGCTGCCTTTGTTTTGTCACTTTTACGAGCAACGTCGCACTGCAAATGGGTTGCTAGAAACAAATTCAAATATTCACAAGCAAACTTAAATGGCTTACGGGAAAGTTTAGACTCTGGCCCAGGTCTAAGCCAAGCTGCTGGCAAATGTCAACTTGGCCAAGGCACTGGCAGGAGTTTCTTACTCGATGACACTGTGTCCTAGTTTCTTACTTCCCCAGCGACATTTTCCAAATGGAAAGTCACTGCCTGAAATGCTCACCTGGCTTCTGTGTAATCTCGCAATGGTGTTGACAATTAGTTATATGATTATGCTGCTGTTGCTGCTGCTGTTGTTGTTCCTGATCGTCCTGCTGACGGCAGGATACATGGTGCTGTCCACTCGGATGCGTTCCCGTTGACTTCTGGCGCTTCAGGGATGCAGAGATCCGGTACGAGGTCACAGCAGCCGGTCCGCTAGATGAGTTCGATGAATTCGATGGCATGCTGGTCGTTTGGGGCTTCCTGTAAATTTATATAGAATTTTATTATAGATTTTAATACCAGTTTAACAGCTCTTTAAATATTATTTTTTCTTCAGTTTTAGTAATTTTTTTAGCCGTGTAGCCATGTGCGGAATAAGTAATCGTATTTCCGACTAACTATGCTCAATAATCAGCATTTTCCAGGGGCGTGTAATGCAAATCACTTCACGTTCCGCAATGAAATGACTCGAACCACCATTTCCCATTTGCTCACTGTGTGTGTGTCAAAGTACAGTACTCACATCTTGTGCATGGTCAGGGTCCGGCGAACGGTGGCGAACTTCCAAACAGTGCAGCCTGTACAGGTGTTCAGGACGGCGATGGTGGTAAAGGGCACCGCGTAGACGACAATTGAGTCCCAGTAGTTGAACAGGGCCAGTTGCTCCTATGAATGTAATGGAAATTTGTATTTTGGTTTTGTGTTTGGGTTTTATTCTTTTTATTACTATTGGTGCTAGAAATTCGATTGGTTTTGCGGCGAACGTGGCGTATACGTAATTTATCAGATGGTGCTTGCATACACGGCGTATACGTAATTTGGTTGGGCTGTCCAACCACCTGGCTCTAATCTAGTTTGGTCCGAATTGAATTAGATCGGTTTTTATCTAAGCCAAGCCGAAAGGGCTTGCTAAAAGCTGAAAATAATTAAATTGGAAAACAAAACGGGTGGAAAATGTTGAAAATTCATTTGCAAAAGGTCGTCCTAGGATAGTTTTCAATTCTATGATACTTCTTGAAACTGCCGTGTAACTGAAAACCCCCGGCCAGGTGCTTATAATATTCTCTTTGGGGAAGCTTTACTTTACTTCATCCACTTAGCGTGAAATTTAATGGAATTAACCCAAAGCTGAATCAATAACTGGGCAGGAAGAAAGGAAAAACTATGCTGACCTTTGGCCTTGCTTCTTTAATCTCGGAATTTTCAACTAGGCCAAGCAAGAGAGAAACTATTTCACAGCATCTTGTGCATTTGTTTTCAACTTTCACTCAACCGTCCAAGTTCGCCGGCCCGGGCGGATAAATTCCTGGTTTCCGGGCATACTCTCATGCCTGAAATGTTCAATCTGAAACGTTCCAGGACACTCGTATTAATCTCGGCCCACAGAACAGATGTAAATGGGCATTTGGCCTTTGCTCTGGGTTAGACAATGGGCTCTGGGCCATGCCATTTGTTTCAATCACAATTAACCAAAAATGTAAACGCATAAGCTCATTATCGTCCATTAAGGTCCATTCTCTAATCAAACCATCTGGCTATGGCCGCAAACAAACCGAATTAATTTCGGGGCACTTTAAAGAAAGTACTTGCAAATCCCACTCTAGATACACATGTAATCATCACTGGGAGACTGCCTACAATTTGCATAATTTCAAGTCCTGGCATTCATCAAAGTATATGTATATACAAATTCTCCCTGCAACCATTCAAATTATGTTAATCAGCTCCTGGCGAAATCAAAATTGTTGGACAAATAATTTAATGCTTCGACTTTGGCAGCTTTGGGCATAAAAATGAATTGAAATATTCCGCCAACAGCCCTTTTTTGTGGCCTTTTTAATTTTCCACAACGTCCTGGCCTGGCGGGGATCACCCGCAGAAAGGTGCAGAAAGTTTCAATTTAATTATTATATAAATTGTATTTTTATTATATTTTTTTTGTGCTACTTGAGCACAAAAATGAGCGGGGCGGAGACGTAATCTATTGATTGGACCTTTATTTGTGGAGTGGCCATTTGAGACCCTGGTGGACAGTAAACACCTACATAAGTAAACGCCATGGAAAATCCCTCGATGGCCTGTCATAACCGTAAAAGCTGTCCAGCTTGACCAAAGCATTCAATTTATTTGGTTTTTCTATTTATTTTTTATGCCCTTCCCAATTTTGTATCGTTACTTATTTTCAGTTTTTTTTTCTTCCTCCTCTGGCTTTGTTGGCTTGTGGCTCGTGTGTCGAGTGGATCAAAGTGTAATAGCTCGTAAATTTTCAATCAACTGGCTATTTGATGCTCACGATCCCAATGCACGAAGGTATAACTAATTCCGGCAGAAATTTAATTCCTGTTTCCCAAAGAGTTCTCGCTTGAGTCGAGGCAGAAGCCTATGGATTGAATCAATAACTCTTTACTGGTGCTGAGCTCCAAAGTGCTCGATAACTTGAAAATGTTTAGCTAGTTTTCACAATTTCGGAAATTTAATCAATTTGAATTTTATGCATAGAGTGGCGGTGGGCATTACTTGGGGATTCCTTTGGATCTTTGGAAAGAGGATTAAATACCAACTATTTACATATTCAAAGATGCAAATTCCATACAAATTTTGTAAAGTTGCTAAGGCTTACAGGGGCTTTAACGTTCCTCCCGGGCAGGAGTTTCTTGGCCATACCCTTTCTTGGCCATATGTGTGGGATGTCTGGCATTTAGGCTTGGCCTTTAACGATTTCTTGGCCACTTCCTGTGGCATGAAGATGACATTCCAGAGGCTTTGTCAATTTCAATTTGGCTTTGCATTGGCTGTCCACTGGCGACTTCAAAGGGCATCTTTTGATGACGATTCCAAATGGCTGCCGGCAGACCTTCCTGTCCAGCTTAATTAATGAAATATCAAAGCTTTAAATAGCACGCTTAGCTATATCTAGGTTTGTGGGGTTTCATTTCCATCGAATAAAAAGATTTTTAAATTTTTTGCCAAATTTTTTCTATTCATTAGAAGCCCATTCGCAGAACGAACAATTCTGTTAAAGTCAACTTGAACAGCTTCGCCCTGGGAGCAGCTGGTCGCTGAAGAGCTCGGAAGCCCACCCTCCGGAATGGCTGGTGCTCTTCCTCCAGAATGGCTATTACCCAATGATTTGTTTCTTTCAATATGCCAGCCGCCAACTGCAAAATGTCTATTTACAGCTTACGAGTACAAGCGTTGTCTGTTTCAAAATTTATGGGGCCTTCCCCCAAGACACGGTGTCCGTGTTACCGTTCAGCAATATTGTGTGCCGCACGTTGCAAGCTTCTCTAGTTATATACTTTTTTCCAGCCCCCAAAGTAGTGTTGGCATAAGTGAAACTTTATATAAAACTGCTTTCTAATCAGTAGTTATACAATCTCGAGAGGAGTAAAATTTAAAATGCCGCTACTCTAGCATTGTTGGTACTTGAATATCCTGTTTCTAGCCAATGCTGCTGTTTGACTTCCCGAGGAAACCGTGCATAATTTCCTGGCCCATCTGGGGGTCTGTCTTCAGTCTGGCCATCAGTCAAGCGACATTTCTTATTTGTTGCTTCTTGTTTGTTGCCAACTCGGTACGAGTTAGCAACGCCAGCTGATTGAATGTGAAATTTTTCCATCTATATATCGACGTACCCGCCTCTGCTCATCCATCATCGTCCCACGAATCGAGCCGGGGTGTACACGTAGGCGCGACATTTTTCGCTTCATTGGGGCCAATTTGGCTAATAGGCTGGCTGACTGAGATGGCGACTCGAAATTTCACAATTCAAATACCCAACTACACCTGCTGCACACCCCGGTATCCCCTGGGTATCCTGGGTATTGGTGTTTGCATTGCATTGCGTCTCCCTCGAACAGGTTTCGCAAAATTAGCATTGAATTACAGGCTGGAAATGGTGCAAATGGTAAACAGTGGCTGAAAAGCCAGTGAAATATGAGATTTATCGGGGAGAATTTGAGTTATCCTTGAGACACCAGGGACGCGACCAGGACACACCCATCTAGCACACGTGCCAGACCCATGCTCTGTCCTGCGGCCACAGTAAAGTTTCTTTGTCTTTCCAAAATACCTTGTATTGGATAAAAGGTATCTTGAATATGTGAATCCCTAGAGCTATATAACGATGGATAGAGCATTTGGTTATTCGCTTAGACAATCTATAATATTTTGCCTCATTTTTTATGTCGCTAACCTTTTTGGCATTGTTTTGCTTTTTGCGTCTTTTGACCCATTCGTTAGCCAATTTGTGGTGGCCTTTTTCTTGGTCAATAAATGCCTAATTTGTTCGTCAGGCACAGCGGCATGCTTCTCCGTTCTAGACCCAATTAATTGACTAATTGCTCCAGTTCTTGGGCAAATTAGCGGCTCCTTAGCCCGGTAGTTGCGGCTTGGGGCGTGATCCGCATATCTTGGCGGTATTCCACTGTATCCGCTGTGCCTAATTGACAGAGTGTCAATGCCATGTCGAGCGAAAGTGACGAAGGGTTCCCGCGCCACGACAGGACCCAGACAAAGTCTAAAGTTTACCCGGGAAACAGCTGTAAATGCTGTTGACAGATTCCCAGTTAAGACCCCCTGCTCTCGGTCGCTTATCATGCCTCACAAAAGCAAAAGCACATATGCTTTGAGAACATATTTTTGAAAATTTTTTTTTGACAACGATTTGCTGGCCATTTGCCAAGGCAAACATAGAAAGGCATTCAAATTCGAATAACAAATACTAATGGTAGCAACAACATACCCCCACAAATACCGGAACCCCTACGTGTGGGTTACCTTTTGAAAATTGTATCGAAGGGACACTGAAAAGTCGGGGGGAAATGGAGATAAATATTCGTTTTTGTCGCTGTTGTATCCACTGGCAACCCAAACGAAATATTCTGGGCTCTGGAAGAATGCGTTTGATGAACTTTGATTTTGATGTGTGACAGGAATGAGTTCTGCATCAACTAACATGAAAGTATTTTCTCATCTATGCCGAAATTTAAACAAAATGGCAAGCGTTTCCTACTTGGAATTACAATATGTATTTGCAGCCGAGTTTTCGAATATTAAGGCATAGCTATGTTTGAGTGAAAAATTAGCAACTTGACTGAACAAGAGCTTAATTCCATATTTCAGTTCTTATACTTGACAGCACTTGTTTAAGACCCCACTGGTTGGAAATGCATACATTTTTAAATTCAGTTTGAAACAATATTCAAATTAGTTGCCAAAGTCTAGAGCTTGACAGGCATTCAAGTGCAAAGTCGAGTGCTTATAGAAGGATATTTCCTGTCAGTTCTTAAATCCTTAAACTAACCTTGTACTCCGAGTTAAGATCGCAGATGGTGTCATTCAACCTTTGATTATAGACCGGCTTGGCAATCAGTATGTAGGGCATGCAATGTAGACACCCGACCAGGGTCAGCCCAGATAGAACGATCTTGGCCCGGCGCACCGTACACATGGTCTGGCGCTTCAGCGGATAGATGACGGCTATGAACCGCTCCACGGTGAAGGCCACCACGAACCACACCGAGCAGAAGCTGGCCAGGTAGCTGAAGAAGGTGAAGAACTGGCAGAAATAGTTCCTGTTATAGATGTCCACATTGAAGAAGTTCAGCCACTGGGCGAAGAGTCCGGCCAGGAAGCAGGTGTCGCTCACGGCCAGAGCGGCCAGGTAGAAGCTGGACGAAAGTTTTCGCAATTTCGTCTTGAAAAATACAAATACGGAGAGGATGTTGCCGATGCTGCCGGTGCCGCACACAATGGGAATATAGTAATGGTGGACAAAGTCCCCGATGAAAAAGGCGATGCGCAGCATTTCCTCATCATCGCCGGTGGCCGAGTCCTCCGAATCCATTTCGGTGACGAATTCGCTCGAAGTGGAGGTCCAGTTGTTTTCCGTGGAATTTCCATCTCCCAACGTTGGAGCTGTGGTTGCTGCTGATATGTTGGACATATAATCCGCATCCATATCGCTGGTGGCTGCTGTCATTTTTTTTTTATTTATTCAACGTTGCACTTCATAGAAAAACACTCGTTTTTCGCGATTAATTCGCGACTTTTAATTGCATTTTTCGCGCACCAATATTTGCCAATTTAAGTGCCAAGGGCCAGAATCTTTTTGGCCAATTAGTTTGGGCGAATAACTATTTGCTTTCCATTATCATTTCCAACTACTTGTCAAGTCAACAATGGCAAACTTTCGATTGGTTTCGATGGCAAAGTCTTTCACTTCATTCCCGTGAATTTCGATTTCCGCTTAAATAAAACTTAATTAAGATTTTTTTGTATTTTTAAACTTCTGCCGCAAAACTTTTTCTTTGGCGAAAACTTATGAAAAACTTTCGATTGCTGCTCATCTAAGTGTTTTTAAGTTCATTATCGGCGCACCATTTTTTGCCCACAGTTCCTAATGATGTAAACAAAGACGAGGTGCCAGGTAGTCACTATATATATATTTTAAAAACTTTTTCCACACATAAAAGTTGTTCAGTTCTCTAGCCGGAAAAACTTCTCGGGGTGCCTCCGTCTTTCACAAATGTAGTATTCCCACAAATTCCGATACTTGTTTGCCTTTTAGGAATGGTGGGGTCCGTGTACGTAGTTTTTATTTTTATATCGGAATTTAATTTTTTGTTTGAATTTCAAAATACACTCTGATTGTGTTTTGATCGGAGGTGGGACTATATTTTATCGATTAAACAGCCAACTCGAACGTGAAATTGTTTACTCAAGTAGGTGCTATTTGAAGAAAATTTGAAACGTATCCAGTTTGTGGTTTTTTGTATGATCCCGCCGGTTTTTTGAACCTGACCGGGTTGTGGCTTCCTTTCGGCCGGTTCGTCCTGTCAGCAGGACAATGAGCGCGCAACTAAGCCGAGACATTGACGGCGGCAGCCTTTTAAATCACTTTCCCCGCGACCGACTTTTGGAAGGCGCCAAGCAAAAGCTCTTCCTTGGCGCCGGCGCATGAATGAACCGGGGCCGGAGTCGCCAGCGATTCATTCATAAAATCAACAGGTCACAAGGTCAGGGTTGGGAGGAAACTCCACAAGTGGTTGAGCTGCCGTCGCGGGATTAGCCACGCAGGATTTGCAGAAGGAGGACGCACCATTGTGCCATATAGACAATGGCCCGCTAAACGGCAATTCCTCTCGGGACTGTGGTCACATTTTCCGGTCGGCTGGCAATCAAAACAATAACAAACCCGCCGCACGTTCGTTTCCACGAAAAGCCGGAAAAGCTTTGGAAGAATGCCATGCTGATGAAAGTGTTGGCCCAAAGCCGCAGTGGCCTTTGGGAATTCCCCGAGTGCGGTGCTCCAAAATGATTGAGCTGAGTGCACATCCGAGTCCCGGCGGGCATTTACGTAAACTCTTAAGAATAAATTAACTAAATTGTTTCTTATTCCTGTACTCTTTCCAGAGGATGACAAGGTGGGCACTTTGGATGTTCTACTGAGCAGTGCCTACTGCCGGTCGCAGCGGTTCCTGTCCAAGCAGCTGGCCCAACTGCGTCCGGAGCTGACCATGTCCATATTTTCAGGTGAGTCACCATAACTCCCCCCCGAAACCATAAGGAATTAATTCATTTTGTGGTAACTGCCGATTATAGAAATCACACATCGCTTCCAAAGCGCTCGAGAGGATGTGCGGGCCCTGCTGCTGCAGTGCCTCCTGCCCTGGCTGCAGAACATGGAACTGGTGGCCACAAGTGTGCCGCCCGCCACGCCCCTTTCCTACATCATGGTAAGCCAGGCATGAAATTGCTTTCCGCCGCTTTTCCGGCAAACGAATTCGTTGACTCGTCGACTTTCCCATCTTTCCGTAGTATTTCCCAGACTCAGGGACACGAGGTCGTCGCGAGGGCACCGGCTCCACCGAGGCAACTGAAATGATTCTCAACAATCTCTTCTACATCACGGCCAAGGTATGTAATGGATACATGGGTTTCCACGTGGCTGAACACCGGCACCCGGTCGACTATAATCTCTAATTTTGTCCATGTTGCCACTGTAGTTCTCGGACGCCCATCCGCGGGACATCGAGGAGCTGTGGGGCACCCTCTGCCAGTTCTGGCCCAACAACCTGAAGGTCATCCTGCGGTATTTGGTCATCATGAGTGGCATGGCGCCCACCGAACTCCTGCCCTACGTAAGAGATTTTCCGCCATTGGCAGTAATGTAGAGTGTAATGAAATTGGTTCTGTAATCCCCTCTTAATCAGGCCAAGCGAGTGGCTCTCTATCTGGCCCGCAGTTGTCCGGACCGCCTGCTGGACGAACTCATGGCCGAGCTGCAGACAGTGGAGACACTAAACTGCTTGATTGAAAGGACGGAGACACCGCCCTTCTACCGCCTGACCAGCATGCGAAAAGCTTCCAGCCACAGTGCCGATGGTAAGACTTGAGATTTATAATCCCCAAACTATATATTCCGGCTTTAAATTACTTGTATCCATCAGGTCAAGCTGTAGGTGGTATCAACGACTCCAGAATCCAAGACCTGGCCGTGGAGAAGGGAACGATTCACACTAAACGTCACAGTGGCGAGGATCCAATTAAAATAGGGCAAGTCTAGATGGGAATATACTATGATTGTAACAAGAAACTAATACCTATTCCACCTCCTCTAGAACCTGCAAGTCTGACAGTGGAATCCGTGCTTACACCCATGCTGCTGCCGCGGCTGCTGCCGCCGCCGTCACTCCAGGTTCGAATGGAAGTCGTCCTCCCAGAGGAGCTGACAAAATCCGAGCCGCCTCAGGGCCTTCCATCTTACCCAGGCCCGAGGACATCCTCATTAACGATCCAGAGCTCCGACAAGAGGAGAATGTTGAGCTACGCGGAACCTCGGATGCCGCTGCCAATGCTCATCCGCATCCGCTGCCCATGCCGGAGTATGGAGGCTATTTCGCTCCGCTTACCGAATTCCTGCCGGATGTTAGTCTACCGATTAGTGGATTCCACAGGTGAGTCTTAGACATGTAAGAGTACTCTGGCATTTTTAGAATTTATTTAAAATAGTTAAGATAGATATTTAGTAAGAAATGCCAGTGTTGTCGTTGATCCATTCCAAATAATCGGAGACGCGAGTGTAACCGGAAGGACCATTGTGGCAGCTGACGGAGGCGAATGTGATCACTCCCACAAGACGTGGGTTGTCCACAGTCACCAAAGGACCGCCAGAGTCGCCTCCGCACACGGAGTGGCCGTCGGTTTGGCGAGTGCACATGTCAGTACTGGCCACGGTGCCGTAGGCCTGCTCGCACTCGCTGTTGCTGATGATCTGGACCTCCATGCACTGCAGCCAGGTGGCCAGGTTGCCGTTGTCCATGCCGCCCCACCCGCAGGCCAGGCACCAGGTGTCTGTGAAGCGGTCGCTGGCCTCGCTCTGGCTGGGCAGGGCCACCTTGTTGATCAGGTCGGTGAAGTCCACCCAGGGGGTTTTGATCAGGCCGATGTCGCGTCCCCCCTCGGCGGGCCAGTTGGGATGGCTGATGAAGTTTTCGCTGCGAACGTTCTGGACGAAGGTTCCGCTCCAGGCGTTGTTTGAGCCGTAGTTGATGTTCACGGAGTCGGTGGTCAGGCAGTGGGCGGCGGTCAGAATCCAGTTGTTGGCAATGATGGTACCGGCACCCACGTAGGCGGAGTTGCTGCCATCATTGAGCAGAAGCAGGCCCACAATATAGGGCGCCTTGCCGGCAGGGGCATCGTATCCGTTGACGATGCGACCCTCGGGACCCTCATGAAGAGTCACCTTCGGGAGCAGGGCGGTGCGGTTCCAGGCCGGAGAGGCGGTGGCCACGGCCAAGGCTACGGAGAGAGTCAGCAAGAACAGATTCATGGTTGCCTAGAAACTTGTCGTCAGTTTTGGATCGATGGGCTTTTATACGATCCGTGGGCAGGCGATAAGAAAGGACGATAAGAAATCAGCCACAAAATCTCATCAGTTTTATTGCGAATTAGCATCTTGGGGGGTTTCAGCCACTTCAGTCTGTGGTTATCGAAAATGCAAAGTATTACTCCATAAATCCACGGTGTCAGATTGTAGGACGACTATAAATCAGTACTGATATGGTTACTTTCTAAATAATAACGTTATTACCTTTCGCTTTATTATGCAAAAAACAAATAAAATTGCACAATATTCCAATACTCCAATATACAGGTAGCTTTTTGTAATAATTTTATAATTAATTAATTACTTCTTATTTTTGTCTAAAATAGTTAATGCATCTAAAAGATTCTTAAAAGAGAACCTTTATTAAATTCTATCCCCCATACTATTGTTGACATATAATCCACAAAAGCCATACTGTTAAGTTAACATTACTGGTATCATCTTAACAGCAATCGAAAAACTTCACAAGCTTTGAAACTGACATCACTGTAGACGGCAGTCCACGTAGGTGACGAAGGGCAAGCTTGAGTGCCAATATTGAGCGATAAGCAGAAACAACTTAAGAAACATTTCAAGAAACATTTAATACATATTAACTAATAATACGAATGTTATAAGAAGAAAAGTAAAGTTTGCCTTTAAAGAAACAACCACATAAAAATACAATAAGCTACAAATAACTACATACTTCAACCTAAAAATTAGTTTAGTATTTAGTTTAGTTAGATTAGCTTCTTTCACTAAGCAGTGCTTACAATATGACAGCTGCAGCAGCAAACACTTCAGTGGGTGAAGTACACTTTGGCTATCTAAGCTCTGGCTATCTGGACTAGACTACCAAACACACCCTCCAGTTGATAATGAAAGCCAAGAAATTAACTTTGATTCACTTTTGAGATTTCATAGCTCACTGAATGAGTTTTCGCGATACGTGAGATCATTGATTAACTCTGAAGGCTTATCACCTGCACTGCAATGGTATAAAAGCCGACTGCTCCGTGGGGGATCCTAAGTTTCTTCACAGCCATGAAACTGTTCTTGCTTACCTTCGCTGCGGCTCTGGCTCTGGCCTCCGCCGGTCGCTTTGACTACCGTACCGCCCAGCTCCCCAGGATCACCATCGAGGAGACCCCTGAGGGCCGCATCGTCAACGGCTACCCGGCATACGAGGGCAAGGCCCCCTACATCGTCGGTCTGTGGATCCGCACTGACGGCAGCAACTCCGCCGCCGTCGGTGGTGGTTCCATCATCGGCAACAACTGGGTGCTGACCGCCGCTCACTGCCTGACCACCGACTCCGTGGACATCCACTACGGTTCCAACTGGGGCTGGAAGGGTGCCTTCTCCCACAACGTGCGCCGCGACAACTTCATCAGCCACCCCAACCACGACATCGGTCTGATCCGCACCCCGTGGGTGGACTTCAACAACCTGGTCAACAAGGTGGCTCTGCCCAGCTTCAACGAGGAGCACGACCGTTTCACCGACACCTGGGCCGTCGCCTGCGGATGGGGTGGCATGGACAACGGAAACCTCGCCGACTACCTGCAGTGCATGGACGTCCAGATCATCAGCAACAGCGAGTGCGCCCAGACCTACGGATCTGTCTCCGACCAGGATCTGTGCACCCGTGCTGCCGATGGCCACTCCGTGTGCGGAGGTGACTCCGGCGGTCCCCTGGTCACACACGACAACCCTCGTCTCGTCGGTGTGATCACCTGGGCTATCGTTGGCTGCCATGGCGGTCCTTCTGGATACACCCGCACCACCGACTACCTGGGATGGATCCGCGACCACACTGGCATCTCCTACTAAAATCTTTTTTGAGAGGAGTAGTGTATGGCTGAGTGGAGGTTCCCTCTGCAAGGACAATACTATTCCAAATATAATTATTCGAAAACTGCAATTTTTAACCTTTTTGTATCGGGAGCTTGAGTTTTAATATTGTTTGTGACAAAAATGATATCTCTTGAGCCAGACCCTTGGTCGTTTTGAGGGGAGAAATTTCAGAGCAGCATATAGTATTTATATATATTCTTGATTAGAATATAAGCTTGCACATCGGTCTGTCCAGTTTTAGGAGAACTTACCTCTCAGTTTTATATCTATTGACTCCGAACTTATTAGACAATTCCCTTTTCCTTTGTACGCACAACATAAGTCGGTCAGTCGTCGACCATAGCTCCATTATTTTCGAGATTTATTTAGGTACACATTTTAGGACGCTTTTAAAGTAAGAAATTACCATTAAGATTTTACATAGAAATCCCAAGAAATATTTGGTTTTATTGCGAGAAAGAGTGTTGTTTTGATTTAAAGATATGAGATATGTTTGAAGAAGAGTGATATGATATGTACTTACGAGATACATATGAGCTGGATTTGTACATATTAGTTTTGTATCTTATTTTCTTCTTATTTTGAATTACATATTCATTATATTTTCATAAGAAGCCGAAGTAAAAAAAAGTTATGAATGCTTTCTAGTTACGAATGCTTGTATGTATGTATTTTATAAATTACTCGTGAAACTGTTTTCAAAATTCTTTATTTTATTATAACATATTTTTGAAAAGTTAAGCCATTCCACTGCCATTTTAATTATTTACACTGTATTTAAGTGTTCCTATGTTACGGAGTATCACCCTGCAGTAAATATTTTGCTAATTTTATTTACTACAAGTAGATTGAAGTTTTTACGCGTTTTTAAGTGCAATTGCTCTTTTGTATTTACGAGTGCATGGAAATATCAAAACAATGAAGGTTGAAATGCATCCAAGAGTGGACGATAACTGCTGGCAAGATAATTGTCACCAGGGGAAACATTTCATTCACCTCAGAGTGCAATATTAAAATCAAAGATTGATTCATTCTTTATTACCCTGCGGTATTTACTTTGTCCAATTGAGAAAGATTTGGCAAGAATATTCCGCAAGCCCTATTGTGTTTGCGGACCATGATTTGCAGACCATGACTTGCCATACCGAGTTAATTTGTTAACTCTTTCCATGAGATATCGGAATGATTAATCATAATTTTAAAACCATACGTTTATCAAATTAGTTTACCTGAAGTTGCGTTTATTATCATATCCATTGCCAAATCTATCTTGCACTCAAAAATTTCTATAATTTTTCGGCAGACGGAAATGAATGTGACTTTTGGATAAGATTAGATTCAGGGCACACGCGTCAAAACAAACAAGCCCCTTAAAAGGGCAGATAAGTTTGCGGAAAGTACCCCCAGCGATTTCTTTTTTTTTTGTCGAAAAAATATTGTCAATAATTAATTCATGACGCAAGCAAATATTAGTTATTTAATAATTGTGTTATTGTTAAATAACTTTTAAATTTGAATATTATTTACATAAGAACAATTTGTGAGCTTTTCTCACTGGGGTGTGAAAATGATTGGTTTTGAAACTTTATATGCTTGTACTTTTTTTTATGAAATAACAGATTGTTGAAGTCCTAGTTCAAAAGAATTATCCTATTCTCTGTTTACTGGTCCTTCCTGTTACCACGTCTTTGTTTCTCAAACTCTAATATAAAAAAACGGATCCTTTCCAGGATAGCAGATAAGAAATCCAGTATAAAATATGCGAAACTTTCCAGAAAGATTACTTCAGAAAGAAAGACTTCTTTAAGGAGTTACTACTCATATTGGATAACATATTTCAGATAAAATTTACCACAGTTTTAGATAATCTTTCTGTTTAATGGTCATTATACCACGCATACTCCCCACAATTTTTAAAAAGAACTAGAAAATGTTCTCTAGAATCTAAAAAAAAGCTTCAGTAAAGTAACAAAAAGTTTGCATTTTATAAAGAATTTATTTAGAATTGAAACGTCCTTGCAAAGGAAACCTTCGCTCGGCCATTAACACCTCCTGTTTGAAAAGATTTTAGTAGGAGATGCCAGTGTGGTCGCGAATCCATCCCAGGTAGTCGGTGGTACGGGTGTAGCCAGAAGGACCGCCATGGCAGCCAACGATAGCCCAGGTGATCACACCGACGAGACGAGGGTTGTCGTGTGTGACCAGGGGACCGCCGGAGTCACCTCCGCACACGGAGTGGCCATCGGCAGCACGGGTGCACAGATCCTGGTCGGAGACAGATCCGTAGGTCTGGGCGCACTCGCTGTTGCTGATGATCTGGACGTCCATGCACTGCAGGTAGTCGGCGAGGTTTCCATTGTCCATGCCACCCCATCCGCAGGCGACAGCCCAGGCGTCGGTGAAGCGGTCGTTCTCCTCGTTGAAGCTGGGCAGAGCCACCTTGTTGACCAGGTTGTTGAAGTCCACCCACGGGGTGCGGATCAGACCGATGTCGTGGTTGGGGTGGCTGATGAAGTTGTCGCGACGCACGTTGTGCGAGAAGGCTCCGTTCCAGCCCCAGTTGGAACCGTAGTGGATGTCAACGGAGTCGGTGGTCAGGCAGTGAGCGGCGGTCAGGACCCAGTTGTTGGCGATGATGGAACCACCTCCAACGGCAGCGCCGTTGCTGCCGTCAGTGCGGATCAACAGACCGACAATGTAGGGTGCCTTGCCCTCGTATGCCGGGTAGCCGTTGACGATGCGGCCCTCGGGGGTCTCCTCGATGGTGACCCTAGGGAGCTGGGCGGTACGGAAATCGAAGGGACCGGCGGAGGCCAGGGCCAGAGCCGCAGCGAAGGTAAGCAAGAACAGTTTCATGGTTACAAAGAAACTTAGAATCCCTTTCGAAGTCGCTGGCTTTTATACGATTCACAGCGGATGTGAAGACCTCTCCACACTAATCAAGTCTATCTATGAATTGGGGTACTATCAGCTCACGCAGCCAATCCAATCGAAGAGCTACTCATTTTAATCAATAATTTTAATATCAATTCGAGGGGGACTCTTCTCAATAGATTTGAAAGTGTTGCTTGTACTTGGAGGATTTTAATTTTTAAAATGAATAATTTGTTTAGTATATCAACTAACATATTATTAGTTTCATAAACTTGCAAAAATAAATATAAAATGAATTAATATGTAGTCCATTTGAGAATAAAGGCTGCTGGAAATTTGGAATTCTTTGGTTTCAATGCATATTTATTTTGATTAGTTTATTCCAAAAGATTGAAATAGAATGTTCTGGAAAAGATATCGACTTAAGGGGTTATATACAGTTGTGATATATGAAAAAATCGATTTTTTTTTATTGCATATTCTTTAAGTATATTCTATTGGGTGTACTCCCACAAAAATTGATAACGATCGGAGCATTAGATCCGAAGCTGTAGCTATTTATAGCACACTATCTGCATATAAAACTTGAACAAACTTGAAACTTTAAACGCGATTATCTCATAATCTTTTTTTTGGGCAATTACCTTTGCGGTGGACACGATTACTAAAAAACTACTAATCCGATCAACACCAAATTTTGAGCACATATTTATTATGATATTAGCTAGTCCGTGAACGAAGGATTTTCCATTTTTTTGAAAACTCCCTTTTTAAAGCACAAAAAACGAAAATCTTATACCTTGAAAAAGTAAATTTTTTGTTTCAAACGTCGCCATTTTTTTTTTAATCAAAATTTTAAAAAATCCCTCGTTCACGGACTAGATAATACAATATACTAACTAAACTTTTTTGAATTTTGGATTTCGGATGAACCGTTTTCGAGAAATCATGTCCACCGCAAGACACCATCGAAAAAAGACGATTCGGGAATTCGGCTATAACATTTTTGTTATGTAATATCTTTTTATGAAAAAATTTAATTAAGTACCCAGAAACATGTACTAAACAACGTCGGTAAAACATTTTTCATAAATATTTTCTATGGTGTCAAAAAAAAATCGATAAAAATCCATATTTTTGCGCGGTACAACTGTATATAACCCCTTAACAAGGAGTCATATTGAACAATTGATTTTTAGAGAATTTACCTAAAAACCTTGAAAGATATTCCGCCTTACAGTAGAAAGTTTATTCACAAACATATCTTATCATAAAATCATGAATTTTTTTAAACAGGCTTACATAAGGTCAAAAAGTCTTCAATCATGCTATTCAAGTCAAATTTACGCCGTTTTTTTCGATGACTTGTTAGTTCCAAATGAGATGCCAACTTCATAATGCCCCTCTCAAAGAAGCTCGCTTCCCTACTGGAAAAAACTGGGATAGTCAATTTTAAAAGGGCTCTTTTGTGGCCAGCTTCGGACTTCCAAGCTCGTGGCCATGGACAGAAACAGCGATTACCATGCTTGGTGCGAGGTCCGGATTATATGGTGGATGCAAAAGAACCTTCCATTCGAGTTCTTAGAAATTCTGGCGCGTCACCAAAGATGCATGTGGCCTGGCATTGTTTTGATGAAAGACAACTCGGCCCTGTTCATCAAAGATGGCCTTTTCTGCATGAGTGCTGCCTTCAGGCGGGTCTTCAGGGTTGTTGGCAGTACAGGTCTGAATTGAAAGTTTAGCCAAAGGGGAGTAGCTCATAGTGGATGATTCCCTGCCAATCCCACCAAACACTAAACCTTCCTGGCCGTCAATCCAGGCTTGGCTACCGTTTGGGCCGCTTCACCGTGCTTTAAACACGACCTTATCCCTTATCACTTTGTCATAAGTGACCCACTTTTATCACTTTTCAGTACTTTTTTAATACCACCCGCTTCAGAAACGGGTCGCACTTATACATCAAGCATCTTTGTGAATCCAATTCAGCGATTTTGTCGCAATTTTCCAAGAATTTTCAACGATAGTACCCCTATTTCACGAACAAAAACGTTGATACCATCCTGGTTGAAACCGTGTGGTTGAAATAGAAACTGTATCGGGTCCATAAAATGCACAAATTTTACTGTCAGCTTGATTGGCTGCTTGTGAAATATTATTGATTTTCTCTTTATTTTGCTCTATGTTGCAACACGAGCAACAGAACCAAACAACGAGCTGTGAAAAGACGTTTCCAACAAAATATAGTATAACCTGATGAATACAAATATAACTATGCGCTTGAAACGACAGGTACCGAAAATACAGCAAGAGATATTTGAAAACCTTATACTATATATTAGTAAGAATCTAAAAAATTTTCTGTAAAATTTTTTTTTTTTTTTTTTTTTTTTTGTAATAGCAGGGTAATGTTTATTTAAAACTGTCCATTAGGGACAACCATTAAATTTTATCACGTAAACTTCACGTATAGATATTTTTAAATATTAATATGGTAGAAAAAAAAAAATTAGAGTAGTAAGGGGAGGTCCAGCGGGTGTGTCCTTTTAAGTCTTCTGGGTTGCTCGCTGCTGTCCAGCAGGGAGCTGGCCAACCGGTTCGGGTGATTATGAAGCCTCTGCATGTAACGTGCGCTGCTTCTTTGTATCTCGTCCTTGACCCAAGGGAAATTGAGAACCTCGTGGATGGTGCGATTTTCATGATAGACGTGGGCCCCAGTGGCGATTCGAAGGACTCTATTTTCGAAAGCTTGCATAGTTCGGACATTCGTCTTGCTCGCAGTTCCCCAGAGCTGTATGCCGTACGTCCAGATAGGGCGTAAAAAACACAAGTTTTTGCATTTTTGTAAAGAATTTATTTCGAATTGAAACGTCCTTGCAAAGGAAACCTCCGCTCGGCCATTACAACTCCTATTAGAAAAGATTTTAGTAGGAGATGCCAGTGTGGTCGCGGATCCATCCCAGGTAGTCGGTGGTACGGGTGTAGCCAGAAGGACCGCCATGGCAGCCAACGATAGCCCAGGTGATCACACCGACGAGACGAGGGTTGTCGTGTGTGACCAGGGGACCGCCGGAGTCACCTCCGCACACGGAGTGGCCATCGGCAGCACGGGTGCACAGATCCTGGTCGGAGACAGATCCGTAGGTCTGGGCGCACTCGCTGTTGCTGATGATCTGGACGTCCATGCACTGCAGGTAGTCGGCGAGGTTTCCGTTGTCCATGCCACCCCATCCGCAGGCGACGGCCCAGGTATCGGTGAAACGGTCGTGCTCCTCGTTGAAGCTGGGAAGAGCCACCTTGTTGACCAGGTTGTTGAAGTCCACCCACGGGGTGCGGATCAGACCGATGTCGTGGTTGGGGTGGCTGATGAAGTTGTCGCGACGCACGTTGTGCGAGAAGGCACCCTTCCAGCCCCAGTTGGAACCGTAGTGGATGTCCACGGAGTCGGTGGTCAGGCAGTGAGCGGCGGTCAGCACCCAGTTGTTGCCAATGATGGAACCACCACCGACGGCGGCGGAGTTGCTGCCGTCAGTGCGGATCCACAGACCGACGATGTAGGGGGCCTTGCCCTCGTATGCCGGGTAGCCATTGACGATGCGGCCCTCGGGGGTCTCCTCGATGGTGATCCTGGGGAGCTGGAGGGTGCGGTAGTCGAAGCGACCGGCGGAGGCCAGAGCCAGAGCCGCAGCGAAGGTAAGCAAGAACAGTTTCATGGTTACAAAGAAACTTAGAATCCCTTTCGAAGTCGCTGGCTTTTATACGATTCACAGCGGATGTGAAGACCTCTCCACACTAATCAAGTCTATCTATGAATTGGGGTACTATCAGCTCACGCAGCCTATCCACTCCAAGATACTCATTGTAATCAATCTTTTTAATATCAATTCGAGGGGGACTCTTCTATAAATTCGAAAGTGCTGCTTGCCATTGGATGATTTTAAATTTTAAAACTAACTATTATAGTTTTTTAAACTTATGCATGAGTTAATAAAGTGACTTTTTTTTTCTTCCAAGTCCATATTGCCTTTTTTATATATTCAATCCAAAATTGGAAAGAAAATTCACTAAAAAGACTTTAAAGATATTTTGCCTTTAAGTGGGATATGTATTGCTAAATATGCCTATCATGAAATTATGAACAATCTTATAAAATTTATAAAAAATACTGAAACAGGCTTATATTAATTTAGTCTGAGATGTTTGGAATATTATTGTAACTAACAACTGTTGAAGTTATTCGTAAATATTTGAGTCAATCAGATAACTTTCAGACAAAAATCCTGCTTTAGTAAAATTTTAATTCAGAGTTGTTTTTTAATTTGCTTATCTTAAAATAAATGAATCTTTCGATTTGAATATTTTATCAAATGCGAATCTTTCTGCTTTATTATGAAGTCTGGGCTTGATAAAGCAATGCACTCAATTGATTAAAAAAGAAAGTAAATAAATAATGTAGACCGATTGGACTACAGTCTGAGTGGTTCTAAGTTCTAAGATCTAGCTGATAATTGTGGAGAGGTCGTCACATCCGCTGACGAATCGTATAAATACCAAGTTCCTCGAAAGAAATCCTAAGTTTTCCTGCAGCCATGAAACTGTTCTTGCTTACCTTCGCTGCGGCTCTGGCTTTGGCCTCCGCCGGTCGCTTTGACTACCGCACTCTCCAGCTTCCCAGGGTCACCGTCGAGGAGACCCCAGAGGGCCGCATCGTCAATGGCTACCCGGCGACCGAGGGCAAGGCCCCCTACATCGTGGGTCTGCTGCTCCGCACTGACGGCAGCAACGGCGCCGCCGTCGGAGCTGGTTCCATCATCTCCAACGACTGGGTCCTGACCGCTGCTCACTGTCTGACCACCGACTCCATCGACATCCACTACGGTTCCAACTGGGGCTGGAAGGGTGCCTTCTCCCACAACGTTCGTCGCGACAACTTCATCAGCCACCACGACCACGACATCGGTCTGATCCGCACCCCGTGGGTGGACTTCAACAACCTGGTCAACAAGGTAGCTCTGCCCAGCTTCAACGAGGAGCACGACCGTTTCACCGACACCTGGGCCGTCGCCTGCGGATGGGGTGGCATGGACAACGGAGACCTGGCTGAATGGCTCCAGTGCATTGATGTCCAGATCATCAGCAACAGCGAGTGCTCGCAGGCCTACGGATCTGTCTCTGACCAGGATATGTGCACCCGCATGAGCGACGGCAAGTCAGCCTGCGGCGGTGACTCCGGCGGTCCCCTCGTCACACACGACAACCCTCGCCTCGTGGGAGTGATCACCTTCGGCTCCGCGACCTGCCACAACGGACCCTCCGGCTACACCCGCACCACCGACTACCTGGGATGGATCCGCGACCACACTGGCATCTCCTACTAAAATCTTTTCTAATGGGAGTGATTTTTCGCAAGGACAACGAAACGTTCAATAAATTCTTGGCATACCTTTAAATTTTTGGAAAACGTTTGTCGTGGGTTCAAGAGTTTTATATCTAAATGTCTCAAAGTTGGCATTCCCTTTCCAAAGCTCTTTTTTTCGAAGATTAGTTAGTATATACTTTCTACGTTAGTGTGGTCTAGTTTGCGGCTTCATTATCGCGTAAAAAACTGAAGTAAAAATTCAATAAAGATTGGCCCGTATTGCCAACGTAGTCTCTGGGTACGAGAATGAACTTATCATGAAAAAAATAATATTCATCTGCTGTCGCCAAAAATTAACAAGAAATAATGGCTACAGTCGAGTTTCCATATTATATTATACCCGGTACTCATATCTTCAAACCTCCCCCTTTAGCTAACATTTCAATTTTAAATTTCAAAACCTTTTTGTTGCATACTTTTAGGCTTGGGTCATAAAAAGCTGAGCAATCCGGTAGGGAAGCAGGATAAAAAGTCTATTTATAACACCTCTAAAAACCTCCCCATATGGCTTAATTTGGCTTTCCAGATATAAATTAGATATAGGAATAGTTTAGCATCAAAACTTTTTCCAAATCTTCCTGTACTGGCGCTACAGAAGTGTGCGATTTCTGTGACTGCGTTTCTTTCATAAACATCATGGTGCAAAATCTTATAGCTCCACCTCTTATAGTCTCTAAGATTCTCTTATATTCTATAAAAATATACTTCGGTACGGAAATCAAAGGGGCCCGTGGGGCCAGGACCAGAGCCGCTGCGAAGGTGAGCAAGAAAAGTTTCATGGCTGCGAAGAAACGTAGAATCGCTTTCGAAGTAGCTGGCTTTTATACAATTTGCAGCGGATTTGAAGACCCCTCCACAATAACTAAGTAAACCTATGACTTTTGATACTATCGGCTCACGCACCCAAACCACGCGCAGAGCTACTTCATTGTAATCATAAACTTTAATATCAATTCGAGGGGGACTATAGATTCGAGAGGTGTACTGATGTACTTCACAGATTTTATTTTTCTAAATCTTCACTCAAGTTGTTATTAATGACTAGAAAACTTAAAATAAATCAACCAAGAAATAAATGAATCTTTGGTAGCCTTTCTTAGACTAAAAGGTTAAGACAGATGTGTCATATTGTCGTTCCTATGCAATTCTTAAAAAACTAAAATAGGTTTTTATTTTCATAAAACAGAGTTGCTTCAAATATTATTCGTTCATTCATAACTCATTCGTTCATTTCATTGAAAATATGAACTTGGAAATACTGGAGTAAATCATTCGATCGCGGCATTATCTTGCACAAGTTTATTTTTATTCAGGTTTTTTTTTTTTTTTTTTAATTTGCGTATCTAAAAATACTTTAATCTTTCAATTTAAATATTTTATAAAAAGCAAATTTTTCTGGTTTATTATGAAGTCTGGGCTTGATAAAGCAAAGCACTCGAAAGTATTAAAAAATAAAAGAAATAAACAAAATAGCCAAGTGCGCTTAGATGTACTTGATAACTGTGGAGAAGTCTTCACATCCGCTGCAAATCGTATAAAAGCTAGCTACTTCGAAAGGACAGCTAAGTTTCTTCGTAACCATGAAACTGTTCTTGCTTACCTTCGCTGCGGCTCTGGCTCTGGCCACCGCCGGTCGCTTTGACTACCGCACCCTCCAGCTCCCCAGGGTCACCGTTGAGGAGACCCCAGAGGGCCGCATCGTCAACGGCTACCCGGCATACGAGGGCAAGGCCCCCTACATTGTGGGTCTGCTGCTCCGCACTGACGGCAGCAACGGCGCCGCCGTCGGAGCTGGTTCCATCATCTCCAACGACTGGGTCCTGACCGCTGCTCACTGTCTGACCACCGACTCCATAGACATCCACTACGGCTCGAACTGGGGCTGGAACGGAGCCTTCTCGCACAACGTGCGCCGTGACAACTTCATCAGCCACCATGACCACGACATCGGTCTGATCCGCACCCCGTGGGTGGACTTCAACAACCTGGTCAACAAGGTCGCGCTTCCCAGCTTCAGCGAGGAGAACGACCGCTTCGCCGACACCTGGGCCGTCGCCTGCGGATGGGGTGGCATGGAGAACGGAAACCTCGCCGAATACCTGCAGTGCATGGACGTCCAGATCATGAGCAACAGCGAGTGCAGACAGACCTACGGAGGTGTCTCCGACCAGGACTTGTGCACCCGTGCTGCCGATAACAAGTCCGCCTGCGGCGGTGACTCCGGCGGTCCCCTGGTCACACACGACAACCCTCGTCTCGTAGGAGTGATCACCTGGGCCTGGGCAGACTGCCGTACTCTCTCGGGATACACCCGCACCACCGACTACCTGGGATGGATCCGCGACCACACTGGCATCTCCTACTAAAATATTTTTAAATAGGAGTGAAGGGTCTGCAAGGGCAACGACACTCTTAATAAATTCTTGGCATACCTTTAAATGTTTGGAGTTAAATGTAAAAAGTTTGGCTTGGGGCTTACGGCAATTTATTTGATTCTTTTAAAAAATATGTAAATGCAGGTAATGAATGAGTATCTTTAAAAATTTACTTCTTTCACAAAAAAGCTTAACTTAAACTTAAGAACTTAAATTTTTCCATTAAATTGTCGAAACAAAATATTGTAAACAATTTTTGAGAAATAATTCCTGGGGAATATACCAACAAGATTGTGTAAAAATGACAGACCGATTAGTTGCCTCATTTTCGAGAAACCGGGATCGCCGCCTTTAGTAACACGGTTTTAAGAAAAACGCGTTCAAAGATATCCGGCACCCGGCATTGAAATTAATGTAAAGCTCCGAAAATATTTATCGGATTGAGTACAAATTTTGAGCACAAGTAGTAACCATACATATGTAGATTACCATTAAATAAACAAAAATATTAATTAAAAATTTTTTTTTTAAATCCTGGGGATTCCAACCCTAAGGTTTGCCTTTCTAAAGGTATTTTTATTGCAGATTAGAATTGCAACGATGGTATAAATTGTATCTTAGTGGGGTCTAATTAAAAAAATTAAGGTAAAAAATTCCATAAACCATCAAGGATTAGCCCGTGTTTAGCCCTTCATTAGAAACCTATTTATTGTTCATATGATTATAACTAATTGTGAAGAATAACTTACACCTGATGACGCCATAAATATCAATAAACAAGTTACAAATGAAACAACTTGTTTAATCGATTTCAAAAAAATTCATTACCAAGTTGAGTACTTCCATAAGTTAAGCACTTTAACTAAAAATTTCTATTGTTGGAAATTGTATTGGCCCAGTCCGGAGGGGACGGCGTGATAAAGAAATCATCGCGGCACGTTGTCAGAGTGAAGACCTAAATAAATTAGAATAAAGTACTCATGCGCGCAATAATATTGGATCTGATATTGATATCAGAAGCCTTATCTTTCGCCAAACCGTATAAAAGCTGCTTGCCTTCTTGGAGCTGGTTAAGTTTTTTTTCCAACCATGAAACTGTTCTTGCTAACTCTCTCCGTGGTCTTGGCCGCGGTCTCCGCCACTCCGGCCCTGAACCGCACCGCCCTGCTCCCGAGGGTCACCATCCACGAGGGACCTGAGGGCCGCATCGTCAACGGCTACCCAGCGCCCGAGGGCAAGGCCCCCTATATTGTGGGTCTGCTGATCCGTACTGACGGCAGCAACGGAGCCGCAGTAGGTGCCGGCACCATCATCTCCAACGAATGGATCCTGACCGCCGCTCACTGCTTGACCACCGACTCCGTGGACATCCACTACGGCTCCAACTGGGGCTGGAAAGGATCCTTCTCCCAAAACGTGCGCCGCGACAACTTTATCAGCCACCCCAACTGGCCCGCCGAGGGTGGTCGCGACATCGGTCTGATCCGCACCCCGTGGGTGGACTTCAACAACCTGGTCAACAAGGTGGCTCTGCCCAGCTTCAGCGAGGAGAACGACCGCTTCACCAACACCTGGGCTGTTGCCTGCGGATGGGGTGGCATGGACAACGGAGACCTGGCTGAGTGGCTGCAGTGCATCGACGTCCAGATCATCAGCAACAGCGAATGCGAGCAGTCCTATGGCACTGTGGCCAGCACCGACATGTGCACCCGTATGTCCGACGGAAAGTCTTCCTGCGGAGGTGACTCCGGCGGTCCCCTCGTCACACACGACAACCCTCGCCTCGTGGGAGTGATCACCTTCGGCTCCGTGAGCTGCCACAACGGTCCCTCCGGCTACACCCGCGTCACTGACTACCTGGGATGGATCCGTGACCATACTGGCATCTCCTACTAGAGTCGCCAAGGACTTCTCTTAAACCAAATAAATTCTTTCAAAAAACGTAAAACAGTGATAGATTTTGAAGCTCATTTTGGGAATATATTACGTGTGCATATGGTTATAAAAAAAAAGAATAATTATAGTTTCGGAAGTCGTTTGCTCATGTCCCTTTTAACCGTGTTAATAGTAGGCAATGCCTGACTTCTCCCGTATCCAGTCCAAGTGATCCGTGACTCTGGTGTATCCCGAAGGTCCGCTCTTGCAGCCCGTAGAAGCAAAAGTAATCACTCCGATCTGCATTGGATTGTCGTGGGTGACCAAGGCTCCGCCGGAGTCTCCGCCGCAGACAGATTTCCCGTCCGATTGGCGGGTACACATGTCCGTGTTGGCCACACTGCCATAGGACCTGGCACACTCGGTGTTGCTGATCACCTGGACGTCCATGCACTGCAGCCAGTTGGCCAACTGGCCGTTGGACATTCCTCCCCAGCCGCAGGCGACGCACCACCAGTTCTCGAAGCGCTCGCCCTTCTGGCTGAACTTTGGCAGAACCACCTTGTTGATCCGGTCGTTGAAGTTCACGTGTGGGGTGCGGATCAGTCCGATGTCGTGGCCAGCGGTGTTGGGATAACCCGGGTGCCGGAAGAAGTTGTCCTTGTTCACATTGACTTTCAATTGCCCGTTCCAGGCCCGGTTGGAGCCGTAGTTGATCTCCACGGAATCAGTCGTCAGACAGTGGGCGGCAGTCAGGACCCAGGTGTTGCCGATAACGGAGCCACCTCCTACGGCTCCATTATTCAAGCGGAGACCCACCGCGTAGGGGGCCTTTCCCTCGTAGGCATTGTATCCGTTGACGATAATATTGTCTGGAACCAAGGACGTACGATTCCTATGCCGGCCGGCACTGGCGGTGGCCAAGAACAGAACGAGTAGCTCCAGTTTCATGGTTGAGCAGAACTTGGGACACTTTCCTCGTAAACTCTTGCTTTAATACCCCAAGGAACGTTTCGTAAGATCTGCTGGAAAGCAATTTGTTTCAAAACTATGGAAAGTTATCAGCGTTTAGCGACGTTTGATGGATGCGGTCATTAACTTACATGCTCTTACCATATAAGGTTTTTAATTAGGAATTAATTTATCTTTTTAAAATCCTCTATTTATTATCAGGGTATATTTTCTCTTTAAAATTCCATTAGGAAACTATTTTAACTGAAAACAATATACGGGAGTGCTAGTATTTCTCTAGTTTTTAATGTTTCTACTCTCTAGTCGTTAAATTTATAAGTCCTTAACTCTTCTAGCTTCTAAATACAATTGTGGGTTACTATTACAATTATTAACCAGTTAAACCAGTCTTTAACTTGAGAAAATTAAAATTAGATTGTAATTTTTAAGAAACATAAGCGCAAGAATCTTAAACATCTTTAACCAACTAGAAAATATTTCTTTTAATATTCAAATAAAAAACATTTTAGCTAAATTTTTTCATTTAGTGTTTATTAAAAAAAAAGAATATACAACAAGTACATAGTGGTTCTTAGTAATAAGCAATTCCGGATATCTGTCGGATCCAGTCCAAGAAATCAGTAACCCGAGTGTAGCCCGAAGGACCCGCCTTGCATCCGGCTGAAGCAAAGATAATGACACCAATCTGCATGGGATTATCATGAGTGACCAGTGCTCCACCGGAATCTCCACCGCATACCGATTTCCCGTCCGTGGCGCGGGTGCACATGACTGTGCTGGCGACATTGTTTTTTCCATACGATCTCTCGCACTCTGAGTTGCTGATCACCTGGACGTCCATGCACTGTAGCCAGTTGGCCAGCTGGCCATTGGCCATTCCTCCCCAGCCGCAGGCGACACACCACCAGTTCTCGAAACGCTCGCCCTTCTGGCTGAACTTGGGCAGGACTACCTTGTTGATCAGGTTGTTGAAGTTCACGTGTGGGGTGCGGATCAGTCCGATGTCGTTTCCGGGAGTATTGGGGAAGCCCGAGGGCCGGAAGAAGTTGTCCTTGCCAACGGTGTGCTTGAGCTGCCCGTTCCATCCTCGGTTGGAGCCGTAGTTGATCTCCACGGAGTCGGTGGTCAGACAATGGGCGGCGGTCAAGACCCAGGTGTTGCCGATAACGGAGCCACCTCCTACGGCTCCATTATTCAGGCGGAGACCCACCGCGTAGGGAGCCTTGCCCTCATAGGCGTTGTACCCATTGACGATGATGTTTTCCGGACCACTGGAATCCAGGGTCGTGCGATTGCCGTGCCAGCGGGCCGAGGCTGTGGTCAGGAAGAGTAAGATCAGTGCAAGCTTCATGGTTGGTAGCAAATTCGAACAGCACTCGACTCCACTTCAGTTTTATGGCAAAAATTGGTTTCATAACCAGATTTTTGTTAAGTACTTTTACATTTTATCAGTTTTTCCGAAGGGTTGATGGATTTGGGTATTAGTTTAGGAATTCTTATGGGAATAGTTCTACTTAGGGAACCTTGTAGTAATAATTAAAGTAGAGAATCCCAATCTTCATCAATCTCGTTTTTATTTTCTTTCAGATGCAACGTCGCGGTCATGCTGCTCACCGACATTGTCGTCGACGGCATTCCCGCCATTGACTGGACCCTGCACCTGCCTCTGATGCTGCACATCCTGTTCCTGGGCCTCGACCACACCCGCATCATTGTCCGGGAGCACTGCAAGCAGCTGTGCGTGAACCTGCTGATCGTCCTGGCCGAGCACAACGACCACCTGACCGTGGCCCGCATCCTGCTGAACAGTGAGACCAGTAAACTGGACCTGGGACTGACGGTGCCGGCCCTGCCCGTGATCGACAACAATTTCACTGAGCTGCACCAGCAATTCGATAGCTACTTGCTCCATGTGAGTCCCCAGGCGGCTGCCTATGCCCTGCAGCACAACCTCTCCAGCTCCACGATCATTGCGGCGCATACCTCTTCCGCCTCGGGATCGAACCACCAGAATCTGCCGCATACTCCCCAGAATCAGCAGCAGAGTGGATCTCAGAACAACCAGAATACCACTCCACCTGGCTTGGCTTCCACCCCAGCCGCACTTCAGATAAATCCCAACAACACTGAGAACTCGGAGGTGCCGCTGATCCACCCCGACGAGCACGCACCGCCCCAGCCAGGGCCCAGTATGCCCATAGCCCACGTAATCAAGAGCCTGCTGAAGTTCTTGGCTCAGGACACTTGCCAACCGCTGTGGAACTACGAAGACATCACCGCCAAGGTCTGGGCTGTCAAGTCCGCAGAGCAGCTGAGCTGTTTCCTCAAGCACATGGTGAAAGTATTTGCCGACAGCTACCCGCAGGCGAGGATCGCCGAGCGCTGGGCCCAGACGGCCCTCCAGTTGGGACTTTCCTGCTCCTCGCGACACTATGCCGGACGCTGTCTGCAGATCTTCCGGGCCCTGAATGTGCCTATCAACTCAAGGATGCTGTCCGACATACTCTCCCGGCTGGTGGAAACAGTGGCCGAACAGGGTGAGGATATGCAGGGATATGTGACGGAATTACTCCTGACTTTGGAGGCGGCTGTGGACAGCTTGGACTCGGATTTCCGACCTCTGGACGTGATGAAGGACATCTTCAAGAGCACGCCCAATCTGAACAACAAGGATGGCGGCCCCAATTCCATACTGCCCGGCAAGAAGTCCCCATCGGGAATGACGCCTCAGTCCTCCAACTTCTCCATACCCAGCCACGGTCGGAGCACCAGCTACTCCGTATCCTACTGCGGCCGAAAGGCCAACAACTCTCCATGCGACAAACAAGTCGAGCTGCGCAATCGCTCCTCGGGCATCGATTTGGAGCGGAGTGTGGTCTGCAAATTCGGCGTCGGTGGAGTGGGTGGTGTGGGAGCTGGTTCGGCTCTCTCCCGTTCTCGTAGTGCCCAGAGCCTAAAGATGCTCGGGGACACAGCCACGCAGGACGACAAGATGACCATTCTGGCGCAGCTATTCTGGTTGTCCGTGTCGCTATTGGAATCGGACTATGAGCATGAGTTTATGTTGGCCCTGCGCCTGTTGACTCGAGTGCTCCATAGACTGCCTCTGGATCGTCCGGATGCACGGGACAAGGTGGAGAAGCTGCAGCAGCAACTCAAGTGGACAGCTTATCCGGGAGTACATGCTCTTCTATTGAAGGTGAGTATTTATTTTGAATCCTGATAGCTTCAAATTCTAAATTTTTGTTTTATTTTAGGGCTGCACCCACAGTGCCACCTATGAGCCAACCATCACGCTGCTCTCTCAGTTCGCTCCACTCCTCACGCTTCCCGTTTGCGATCCCACCCAGAGCTGCGCCTTCCCCATGAACGTGATTGCCCTGCTGCCCTATATGCTGCTTCACTACGAGGATGCTAACGAGATCTGCATCCGTAGTGCCGAGAATATTGCCCAGGTGTCCACGGAACTGGGAGCTAAGCTGGAGAACCTGGGCACTGTGATGACCCTGTACAGCAGGAAAACCTTCTGCAAGGAGTCGTTCCAGTGGACCAAGTGCGTGGTCAAATATCTGCACGACACCTACGCCCACATGGGACTGCACATGGTGGCTTTTCTTATAGAAGTCCTGGAAAAAGGTCCGCAGCAAGTGCAGGTTCCGGTTCTGAATGTCATCCATTGCATGCTGCACTACGTGGACTTGTCGGCTCCTCAGGCTCAGACCATCAATGCGGATTTGCTGAGGGCCATTGGAAAGTACTTGGATGTAAGTAACTATAAAGTGTAGATGCAGAAACCATTCAGCTTATATATTCATCTTCTTTGGCAGACGGTGAACTGGAAGGACTCGCTGAAGATCCTGAAGCTGATTGTAACCCGCAGCTCCTCGCTGCAAGTACCGCCCAGCGACGGCAGCAGCGCCGGCTTATCGTTCTCCTTCTATGGTGCATATCCGGACTCGGATATGTTCTGTAAAAAGGAACTGGCCGGTCGCACCATGGAGTTCACCTTCGACGTCTCGCAAACACCGCTCATTGGACGACGCATCCTGCTGAAGACGGAAGATCCGGCAGCTGCCGGTGGCGCTGCCTCCACGACTGGCAGCTCCTCGCTGAACTCCACCCTGACGAATGCCACAACGGTGACGGTGGCGCCCAGTGCAGCCCAACAGCAGGCCAATGCCCAGCTGCAACAGCAGCGAGCCCACACCAATGTTGCAGCCATTGCGGCGGCCGCAGCCGCCGCTCAGCATCAGCAACAGCAGCAGGCCATCGGAGCCGGAAGCAGTGTGGTGGGCACCCCAAACTCTCCCCGGCGGAGTGCCAGTCTGTCGCCAGCGGACACTGTGCCACTAAGCGGATGGAAGCGGCCCTGGATGTCGCAGTGCCGGGTGCGTGAGTGCCTGGTCAACCTGCTGACCACCTGCGGCCAGCGTGTTGGTCTGCCCAAGTCGCCATCGGTAAGTGTCACTCCAGGCTATCCACGGCTGCTTGTACATAGCCATGTGCATGCTTTAGGCTCCCTAGAGCTTGCCCCGTCCCTCCCGGTCTCATGCATTTCTTACCATGCAATTATTTTCCTCTAACTCTTTTTCTTTCATGTAAACCAATACTCAAACCAAATACCAAAAATACAAAAAACCAAAAAAACCGAACAACCAAAAACCAAACCAAAAATAAAACAACTAACACGCATTATCATCATTAACCAATCCGATACCAAAAATCGAAAAATATCTAGGACGATTTCATAAATTCAATTTGCTCAAAGGTAAAGGACACGTTTCTATGTGCCGCCTCAAGTTTCGCTTCTGTGTGTGTTTTCTTTAAAATGTTTTATTTTTTTGTTCAAGCATGATGTAGTTTTATGGAAAATTATTTACACAATAATTTAAAGTTAAAGAAAATCTTTCAAAGGAATTCGCAATTTTATTTATATTTTCCTTTATTTTAATGTCCTCTTATGTGCTGAACTTGGCTTTTATTCTTTAGTTCTCATAAATCACATCAACCCAGAAACAGCCAATCCATTTGCTTTCAAGTTCCTTTATTCCGTTTGCATGTTTCGCATGTTTCTTGTCACAATTTCTTCCTTTTGTTTATTTTTTTGTCTTAAACATAAACACGTTTAGTCGTTGAGCACGTCACTACTAACAGGATCGATTGCGACCAGACAAAGCGTAAGCTTTATCTCTACTTTCTTTTACATAAACTATATATTAATACTCTGAATGTTTTAAAAACTGTTTGACGATTCAAACTAATGCTTTTTTTTGTAACAACTAGGTTATATTCAGTCAGTCTTCGGATCTGATGGAACGCCAGTCTTCGGCCGCTTCTTCCACGGAAGAGACTTCGGGTCCGCAGGGAGACTTGAGCAGTGGCTCCCGGCGGGATGATGGCCAACCTGACTTCACGGTCTTCAAAGACTTTGATTTCCTGGAGTACGAGGATAGTATTGCTGGCGAGTCCACGGATAACTTCAACTGGGGCGTGCGCCGGCACCAGCTCTTCGAAGGCGATGAGGAGCGCTTGAATTGCGGCAGTGGCATCGGTGGCTCCATCAAGGGCGGTCATTCCTCGGCCCTCGAGGACAGCTTCAGTGACAAGACGCCCATACTGAGCAAGCGAAAGCGACAGACTGCCGACGATTCCTCCGACGAAGAGGGAGAATCGGAGTCGCCATTAGACGAGGATCACCGCCAGTCCTTCCTCAAGTCCGGGTACAGTGCTGTTCCTCCCACATCGCTGAGCTTGCGGGAGCGACGGCGCCGCAATTCAGTGTCGCGCAGTGACACCAGTGGTTCAAGTGCTGGAGACTTGGGCGACATTACTCCATGCAATGCTTCACCCCATTTGCCGGGCATCATTCGCTTTGGAGCAGCCGTTCGGGACGAGGCGGAGGACAACTGGCGCCAACAGCTGCAGGGAATGCTGGTCAACCAGCCATCGGCCCACACCTCGGAGCTTCTGCAGCAGCTGCACCGGCTGATCAAGGAGCTGACCTTCAAGACCATTAGTATTTCCAAGGAGGCCAAGAAGTTCTTCACCGGCATTGGATCTCAGCTGGGCAACCGGATCTCCCTGTTCACAGATTTGCTCAGTTCCCGGGCGGATCCTCCACAGGTTTGGTGCAGCGAGCAGCAGGCTACCACGCCCAAGCTGTTTGAGACACTGCGTTTCAATGTTCTGGAGGTGCAGGAGCATCTAGAGACCTTCTTCGACCGCAAGGATCAGGTCTTGGAGGTGGGTTCTACACACACCAGTCTTTATTAAAAACTCTGACCAAAAATTTAATTTTTCAGTGCCTGGATGCCGTGAAAACCAGTTGCAAGCTATCACTCTTCAATGAGG